TAGAAGATTTTTTTTGTAAGTTGTTCGGTATATGTTGTGTGTATAGGGAATGTATGCTCAGTATATTAGAAGATCTTTTGGTATATGGAATATAAATAACCTGTTATAATATGTTTGTAAACTATATATATACTTTTATGTATAAAAGTAAAAAAAAAAAAAAGAAAAAAAAAAGATATAAGTTTTTTATGAAAGACATGTTTTTCGTTGCAGCAGATACTTAATATATACTAGTATAAACGCAACATATACCCATTGAACAACTGCGTGAATTATAATATATGTTTTTATCTATCTCTATTAAAAATATACAAAGTGCGCAATTATGGAATTAAATCAATTATTATAAGCATATTTTTATTTCTCTCTCCTAATCAATCCCATTAAAAGAGGGATGGAGGTTTTTTTTTAAAAAAAATTTCCTGGTAACAAAATCACGCAACCGACATTTAGGATGGAGGAAGTTACAATTAGTAACAGATTTTTAGGCAATATGGTAATTAAAGTTGGTTCATTAGGTATATACCAAATTATTTATTGTAGGAAGATAAATTTAAAAATACTTTATTTTCTTGTAGTATGCATAAAATTTTCCCTTCGATTTATACCATCGCGGAACTAAATAAGCTTTATTTAGTTTAGTTAATTACAAGTTTTCTGGTACTTAAATAAGCTCGATTTGATAGGATTAACTTTTTCAAGAAGGTGGAGCGTATCTCATAAATTTTCTTAGGTAGTTTTTATCGAAAAAAAAATATATATTCAAAAATTTATTTCAGTGACTTATCAATTAATTGTACAAAATATTATATTAAATTCACTTCTAAACTATTTTGTTTCACTAAATATAGCATGTATATAGTTAAAAAAAAAAAAAAAAAATTGTTTGAACGAAAAGAATGAGTTAAAGAGTAGGTAAAAAATCAGAAATTCTATGGCACCACATGTGGCATCATATTATGATGCCACAACATGATGTGGCACATTATAATTGGTGCCACAACACGATGGCACCAATCATAATGTGCCACATCATGTTGTGGCACCATAATATGGTGCCACATGTGGTGCCATAGAATTTCTGAGTAAAAAGTAGGTGGAGAATATATTATTTTTTAGTTAGTTTATGATTGGTATTTGTGTAATATTTCATACTTCTAAATTCTATTTTTTTTTGTTATAATTAAAAAAAAATAGTCTTAACGCGTCGAGCTATAAGAATTACATAAAATCTTTATTTTCGAGCCTTAACAAAACGAGTCGAGTCTGTCAACTAAAAAGGTTCGAGTTGCTCGTTTCTTAACAAGCCGAGCCGAACAGGGTTCATGAACGGCTCGTTTCGCTTTAACAACTAGATGAGTTGAATTGTAAAACTTCGATAAATCACACTTGAATTTAGTGGGTAAAAGTAAAACTAAACTATTTGGAGCATAGTCTACTTTATAGAAGCTTGTATATGAATTCACAATTTTACAAATTCATATTCTCCCCCAAAACTTCACCATGCAACAGTCAATCAAACATGGAAAACACACAAATTAGCCATTTTTTCCAACAAAAATTGCTAGGAAATGTATATTGTAGCAAAGAATCATTTTTTCCAACAATACCAAATCAAAATAAAATTTGCCAAATGCCTAAAAAATATTAAGACTAGAACTAAACCCCTCCCCATTCAAATAATAATCATCAAATGTCCTAAATCCAATGAACAAAAATGCAAAAAAAAAAAAAAAAAAAA